AAAAAAAAAAAAAAAGAAAACTAGCAGTAGAATAATGGTAGGTGTGTGTTTAACTTTTAAAGCTATTGCCAAAATGTTTTCCAAAATGGTTGGACCATTTTACATCCCAACCAGCAGCGAATGAGAGTTGTATTTGCTCCACATTCTCTCCAAGCCTTGGTACGGTCAGTCTTTTTAATTTTAGACATTCTAAAAGGGGTGCAGTGGTATTCTTTGTGGTTTTAATTTGCATCTTTTTTTTCTTTTTTCTTTTTGAGATGGAGTTTCGCTCTTGCTGCCCAAGCTGGAGTGCAGTGGCACGATCTCGGCTCACTGCAACCTCCACCTCCCAGGTTCAAGCGATTCTCCTGCTTTGGCCTCCCAAGTAGCTGGGATTACAGGCATGTGCCACCATGCCCAGCTAATTTTGTATTTTTTAGTAGAGATGGGGTTTCACCATCTTGGTCAGGGTGGTCTCAAACTCCTGACCTCAGGTGATCCACCCACCTCGGCCTCCCAAAGTGCTGAGATTACAGGTGTGAGCCACCTTGCCCGGCCTAATTTACATCTTAATGATGTTAAGTATCTCTCCCACCTCTTCAGCACCTCCTTTCCTGAGTAGCCTGCCCCTGTGTGCTGCAGCACAGAGCGCAGACACAGACCCACAGAAGTTGTGATGGGCCTCACTGACTGCCTTGAAGATGCAGGCTCTAAGGGCAGGGGTGAGTTAGGCAGAGGCTGGACACCCATGTTGGGTCATGTTCACAGCAACAGACATTTGACATAGCAGAGGAGGAAGTCCTCTTGGAGAGCTGCTCCCTGGGCAGCATGGATGACAGCCAGCGAGAGGTAGAGAAGCCAAGATGAGGTTCACTCGGTCCAGGTAAGACTGCTCAGTCATGAGCCCTCCAAACATATCCTGGGTTTGCTCCTCTCTGTATCCCAAATTCGTGGACACAGTTCCAAGTTAATAATATATTAATTTGCTTCAATGTATTATGAGGCAGTGAAATCCAAATCACTAAAAAGCTGAGGTCAATACATCTTGTATTCACTTTCTGTTGCTGCTCTAACAAATTACCACAAACTTAGTGGCTTCACACAACACAAAGTGATTATCTTATAGTTCTGTAGGTGGGAAGTCTGGCATAGGTCTCACTGGGCTAAAGTCAAAGTGTCAACAGGGCTGTGCTCCTTTCTGGAGGCCTTAGGGGAGACTTTCCAGCTTCTAAACACTGCCCACATCTTTGGCTTACGTCCCCTCTCTTCATCTTCAGAGCCAGCAAGTGTTATAGCTTTGAATATTCTTTAGTAGTCATATCTCCCTCTGACATGTCTGGGAAAGGTCCTCTACTTTTAAGAACTCATGATTACATTGGACCCACCCTGACAATCCAGGATAATCTACCCCTGAATCTCAAGGCCCTTGATTTAATCACATCTGCAAAGTCCATTCTGCCATGTTCTGGGGACTATGGTGTGGAATTTTTGGGGGTGCCATTATCCTGCTACCACACACCTTTTATGAGGTTCACTGAGGCCCTCCATGATTTGAGGTGCAGGTGGCCTGGCTATATGGTGAAGCCAGGGTATTTAGCTCTATCTAGGTTGTAATTCAAGGTTTGCTAAAAGGCTTTTACTTGCATTAACACACTTTCCTCATATAGGGTTGTCTTACATTCTGGTAGTGTCAACTTAGAGGGAAAGTATGTCAAGGTACACATAACATTCACCATGAACAGTGGATGAATCAGCCATCATTATTAATAGGCTTGCAGATTGAGATATGGGAAGAAAATTGACTGATTGAGTTTCCAATTCTCCACATAAAGGTTTTGAGGTTGTGTACATACAATACAATATAAACCTGGCTGGGCGCGACGGCTCATGGCTGTAATCCCAGCACTTTGGGAGGCCAAGGTGGGCGAATCACCTGAGGTCAGGAGTTCAAGACCAGCCTGTCTAACATGGTGAAACCCCGTCTCTACTAAAAAATACCAAAAAATTAGCCAGGTGGGGTGGTGCATGCCTGTATTCTCAGCTACTTGGGAGGCTGAGGCAGGAGAATCACTCGAACCCAGGAGGTGGAGGTTGCAGTGAGCCAAGATCATGCCACTGCACTCCAGCCCGGATGACAGAGCAAGACTCTGTCTCGAAAAACAAACAAACAAATACAATATCAATCAGAAACTAAACATTAAGCCAGAATATATAGAGCAGGTGAGGAACAACATGCAGACACGAAGGCAACTAAGACCTACACTCCAGTGCCATATTTATCAATGAACTTCTTCATAGCTAAAACGAAATGGAAATCTGGTCAGTTACATAAATAATGATGAATCTGGTTGTCATTATTTATGTGATGAAAATATACCTGCTTCTAAAGGAGAAGCTTGTCCTAGTGCGCCCGAGATCTCTAAGGAAGTTCTCACCCAAGTGAAACAACCACGTCTCCGTAGCGAATGAGAAGGATGTTTCCTCGGATTGTTGAGGGTCTAACATCAGAGCACGGCTCAGTAAAAGCAATTCTGTGAGGGCCGAGATAGCATGTTCCAAGCAGCAGCTTTCAGATCATGAACATGATTCAGGATATGACTCTTTACTAAGTGGTAAAATGAATTTATGACCAACATAAAAAAAGAAATGGAACAGAATAAAAAAGAATTTTAAAACCCAATGTTTTAGCTGTGTGTGTGTACATATAAGTGTTCCATCAAGATGTAAAATGTATTTTTTCTAAACTGAGGATTACTACTAGAGGAACAAAAGAACTGCAAAGATTATCCTTCAGAGATACAAGAGCTCTGAAGCTCTTGCCAAGAGCTGGTCAGGAAATAGATTGATGTGATATCCTTCAGCAAGGATCTATGGTGCAAATATTGTTTCCCACTCGTGCTTTAGAAAGGAAACTAGGAAAATCAGAACCAGGAAGGTGAGGGAGAGGGTCAGAGTATCAGAAGGACTACTGTAAAATGCCAGGATGCTTGAGAGAACAAGAAAACAGATGGTAAAGTTGACATCTATGTAAACTAAGAATTTAAGATTCCATCCGGCAGGACAGCCCTCCCACCTGTGTGACCCAAGTTCTAGTGATGACTCTAGTCTCTTCCTTAGGAGGCTGGTCAGTGGCAGAGAGGCCGGCAAACTATAAAGTATACTCAAGGTAACACCGTGCCAAATTCAGATACTGGCAGGTACCTTCTGTCGTTCAAGTGGACCGCAAGGTACTGGGTTTTGATTGTTTTCTTTTGGCTCACTTGGAAAATTTTTCCTAGAGCAATAATTTTCCACTTTGCCTATTCCTTTCTTATTCTTGTGACTTCTTTACAATTTAACAAACTATTAATTTTAAAGGCTACCAAAATAATAAATTAGGTAAATGTTTTATGTAATATATGATTGCCATATTGAAGTGGTATGTTTTAGGACAGATTTTGGTTTGTAAATTTTAACTACTCGATAATACTAGTGAGAGGATATCTCATTTGTATTAAAAGGTATCTATTTTACTGAAGATGGGATCTAGGAGGAACTTACTATAAGCCTATTTGAACTCTGAACATCAATACCATTAAATGGACTTTTGCCTTGTTCCCAGTGATCAAATCTCTGACTGTATCAAGGTCTTCCTGGACCAGGAGACATTTTGCACTTGACAGTTAAACACCCAGGATGCTCGAGCCAGCAGGAAGGCAAAGCTGAAGTCAAGGACCCTGTCTCAGGATGGAGGAGGACAGGTTGTAAATGGAGCAGATGGCAGGGTCAGAACTGTGAAGAGGAGCCAACAGCAAGGGGTCAGAAGGACATGAGGGAAGCACACGACGATGTGCCAGAGGAACATCGATGTGCCAGAGGAACATGGCATCAGGGTGCCATGAGCATCACCCTGCACTCCAGCGGCCACACCTTGCTGGCCCAGAGTTCCTTAGAGAATGAGGTGTGAATCTTCTGGAGTACATTCTGCACTTCCAAACAATAAAAACAAAACCTTTTTTATCTTGAAAACTTTCATGCAAGTCTAAAGAATAACATAATGGACCTCCATGTTTCCATCACATAACTTCAACAATTACCAACATTTTCCATTACTGTTTTACCTTTCTCCAACTCTGCTCCTACCCCTACTATGCCACCTTTTTGTTCTCCTGGAGTACTTTAAAGCAAACCTTGTCATCATATTAATTCATTCATAAATACTTTTCAAAATATAATACTAACAGGATGGGTGAGGTGGCTCACACCTGTAACTCCAGTACTTTGAGAGGCTGAGGCGGGTGGATCACCTGAGCTCAGGAGTTCATGACTAGCCTGGCCAATATGGCAAAACACTGTCTCTACTAAAAATACAAAAATTAGCTGGGCATGGCGGTGGGCGCTTGTAATCCCAGCTACTTAGGAGGCTGAGGCAGGAGAATCCCTTGAATCCCGGGGGCAGAGGTTGAAGTGCCACTGCACTTCAGCCTGGCAACAGAGCGAGGCTCCATCTCTAAAAACAAACAAGCAAATGTAATACTAACAGAGAAGGGCTTTTAAAAAACACAATGATACCACTATCACATCTATTAAAATCAACAATATCAACAATAATTTTGTAATATTATCTAATATGCTGAGTTCAATTTTCTATTATCTCACAAATGTCTTTTTATAGTGGTTGGTTGAGTTTCATACACTGCCTCAGGCTGATTTGTCCTTTAAGTCTCCAGCCTCTCTTAGTCTATAACAGTTATTCCCCTCTCCTTCCCTTCTCTTGTGCCAATTATTTATTTATTAGAGTCCTCCACATTCAGGATTTGTCATTATGGTATGATCAAGTACATTTCTTTACCCACTGTAGTTCCTGTCTGCTGGTAGTTAGGTCTATAAGCTAGCTTTTGGATTCAGCAGTTTTGGTAAGAAGCATTGTGGATGGTGTTGTGTGCTTCCTCTGCACCATGTCAAGGGGCACAGGTCTGCCTGTCTCACCACTAGTGGGGTTGAGATTCATCAGTGGGTTCAAATTTTGGTCAATACGACTCATTCATTAAAAACTCCTTATCAATCTTGAACCTAAAGGTTTTAGCAGCCATTATGATAGCTGCTTACATTCCTTAATCTATTCAGGAATGCAAAATATAATTTTCTAAACTTATCTTTTCTTCGGCTTTTAATAGCTTACATTCTTCAATAAAGAACTCTCCCTCATCAATTATTTGGATACTCTGAGATAGGGTTTGTACAGCAAAGCCCACAGTGCATTTTAAAGGTGATATGGTGTGTTTGACACTCTGCCATTTGTGACCTTGTTCCCATTCCAGTTCCCACTGCTGGGAACACTACTGGTCACTCTCATCATCATCTTTGTATCACCAGGGACTGAAGCATAGGTACTGCTAATGGACAACAGAATGTATTGTATGCTGTCCTCTTGGTTCCCTATGCCCAAATTTTACTGGTCTTTAAGACCCAACTGCCATCTCCTTCATAACCTGCACTTAGAAATAACCTCTTCTAGTCCTCAGACAAGTATCCACTCTGTTAGATGCCAGTCATTGTACCTCTTCTCTAAAAACTTTCCCCTTCCTCCTGATAAACAGTTATTTATGTATCTTATCTTGTTTTCTAGACTCCTTAGTAGCAGGGTTTATGTTTTGTTTCGCTTTCTAGCTCCTTAGTGATTAGCTTGTTTAATCTTTTCTGAGAAGTCAATAATAATTACTATTTTTTTTTTTGAGACAGAGTCTCACTCTGTCGCCCAGGCTAGAGTGCAGTGGTGTGATCTCAGCTCACTGCAACCTCCGCCCTCTGAGTTCAAGCGATTCTCCTGCCTCAGCCTCCCAAGTAGCTGGGATTACAGATGCCTGCCACCGCACCCGGCTAATTTTTTGTATTTTTAGTAGAGATGGGGTTTCACCGTCTTGGCCAGGCTGGTCTTGAACTCCTGACCTCATGATCCACCTTCCTCGGCCTCCCAAAGTGCTGGGATTACAGGCATGAGCCACTGCACCCAGCCAATAATTACTTCTTAAATGAAAAAAAAAAAAAAATTAGAAAAGAGGAAAACTTTGAAACTTCATGTTATTAGACAGTTTCTTTTCTATTAAAGGTGAGTTGTACGTAATGAATTTGGTATAGAATGCTGCTTTGAACCATTTAAAAAATATGATGGTAGACTTATCTAATTAACTCCTATAAAAATTCCTTATGTTAATTAGACGTTTTCATTTTAGTGAGATTCAACTGAGTTCCGAAATTGCTCTATAACTATCTAGATTCTAAGATCACATTTTCATTTTCTTTTAACATATTTTTCCTATTTTATCTGCCTTTATCTTTACAATACCATCTAAAGTACATTATGAGTGTTATTGCCTAAAGCACACCTTAACCATGGTTGTTGTACACAGCTATTACTGTAGCATATGCAACAGTATTAGTGTACTTCATCTACTATGAAAAAACAGCACTTTTTCTTTTAATTTCTGCATTTGGAAGGAGATAAATCTGATTAGTCTTAACAGAAACGAGGTGGGACAATATTTAAAATTTCAAAACCCAAAAATGCAAACTTCAATTCTATATTCTTGTGGGTAAATAATAATGCCATGATGTCAGCCTGTGACCATTTTAATAAGCCAGTTTTTTGAAGGACAATTTCTTAAACTTGTTAGTAAAATAATGTTGTGTATAAAAATAATAGCAAGGTAACAAAAGGTCTTTCTTACCAAGAAATCAAGCTCCTCATTTAGACTGTGGTACTTATCCAGTTTGGCTCCCAGAAAGGTAGGTACATCTCTGATAGTCTTGGCTTCATCTGAGTCACAGTCTGTGACCTGAGGTTAAATATATTTGTTCTCACTTTCAATCATTTCATACTCCTTGGAACACTTGACAATAAATACTTATTAGTTTAAAAATCAAAGAGATTATCAGTGGCTGAAATAATAAAAGTGTAGAACTTAGAACTAGAAGGACTTCAACAAATTTACCAAAAGAGCATAAATATCTGAAAATGTATATTTTTATGTTAAAGATAGTAAATAGTAAATATTAAGCTCACCTTAATAGCATGATCTTGAAATGCTTTTTCCTTAGCAATTAAATCTCTAAAGGTTGTGATTCTATCTTTATGTTTCAGTAGCTAAGAAAAGGAAAACATTCTGTATTTTAGAGAGGAAATACAACTACACTCTAATATTTATAATAAAATAATCAAACCGGGCCGGGCGTGGTGGCTCACGTCTATAATACCAGCACTTTGGGAGGCCGAGGCGGGTGGATCACCTGAGGTCAGGAGTTCAAGACCAGCCTGACTAACATGGTGAAACCCTGTCTCTACTAAAAAATACCAAAATTAGCCGGGCATAGTGGTGGGCACCTGTAATCCCAGCTACTCAGGAGACTGAGGCAGGAGAATTGCTTGAACCGAGGAGGCAGAGGTTGCAGTGAGCCAAGATGGCGCCATTGCACTCCAGCCTTGGTGTCAGAGCGACACTCTGTCTCAAAAAAAAAAAAAAAAAAAAAAATAATAATAATAATAATAAAATAAAATAAAATAAAAATCAAACCATGCACAGTCTAACAGTCTTCAAAAAACATACAAAAAATATATTTTTACAGCTCTCGTGAGGAAAATAATTCACACAGCAGGTCCAAGACTGAGAGGCTTAGAGAGGCCTGCGGTCAAGGCTGCCCTGTGACTGGCATTTGGAAAGTTGGACTGTGGGAAGTTTTCCACCGTTCTCTGATGTAAATGGCTTATGGTGCTTAACCTACTTGCCCAAAGCATGGGACTTAAGCTGAGCATCTACTTTCCTTCCAGGGATCTGGAATTTTGGCACGTACTAGGCAGAGGGTGCTTGTGTGAACTGCTCCCAATAAAAACCCCGGCCACTGGGTCTCTAAGAAGCCTTGCTGGTAGATGACACTCCCACACCTGTGGTTGTAGCTCATTGCTGGGGGAATGAAATGCAGCCCGTGTGACTCCATGAGGACTCTTGGAAGCCTGAGTTTTGCTTCCTCTAGACGATGCCCCTGTGCTTTTCCCTTGGCTGATTTTGCATTGTATCCTTTGCTGTGGTAAGTCATAGCTATGAGGACAACTCACAGTCCTTTAGCTAATCATCAAACCTGGGGGTGGTCTTGGAGTCCCCAAGGAGTTATCCTAACATACAGTTGTTGTTACAGTCAGGCTATTGCAATTTTTCCTTAAAGAAAAAAAAAATAGCCAAATCTGGGTGTAATTTATAATCATTTCTTATTTGTTCCTTCAGCATAATAATCATCTTAATATCCAATATTCAAACTGATTAGTGAAGTGTGCTGCACAAAATATTTTTTATTCTTTATTGTGAACATTTTCCAATATTTAAAATAGAGAAGAAACTTTAATGAACCCCATGTAACTATCATTCAGCTTCAATAATTAACAGCTAATGGTCAATGTCATTTGTATCCTCAATCACTGCCCTCTTCCGTCCATCCCCCTTCACTGAATCAAACTGCAGACATCATATCACCTGTCAATACTTCAGTAATTACATAGAAATTAACCAAAAGAACATAAATATCTGAAAGAAGTATTTTTGGTTTTTTGTTTTGTTGTTTTGCTTTTTGTTGTTGTTGTTTGTTTGTTTTGAGACAGGGTTTTGAGACTTGCCTCACCACAGCTTCGACCTCTCTGGGCTCAGGTGATCCTTGCACCTCAGCCTCCAGAATAGCTGGGACACAGGTGTGTGCCACCACGCCTGGCTAATTTTTGTATTTTTTGTAGAGACAGAGTTTCCCCATGTTGCCCAGGCTGATCTCAAACTCCTGGGCTCAGGCCATCTGCCTGCCTTAGCCTCCCAAAATGCTGGGATTACAGGCATGAGCAACTGTGCCCAGCCTGAAATTGTATTTTTGTAATATCCTCAGTTGGGCTTATTTTTGAAAGCTGTTTAGAGAAGTGGATGCCAGTTGTTTCTCTGCATGGCTATGCTCATACCTTGGTCCTGTCCTTTACAGGCTGGCTACGAGGCAGACAGATTCTTCAGGATACCCGCGAGACGTCAGTTCAGAGAAGTGCTACAGAACTGAATTTGTTATGATCCAAGATTCCAGGTCTGAATATATTTTGATTCCTTAGCCAGAAAAAGTTGTCATTTCTGCATTCCTCTCAGATTCAAAATGGTACAATTTGACATCCTGTTATCACCTTCCCTATTTGATTCTCTTCATTTTATCCTTCAATCTCTATTCCGCAACGCCTAGAAAAGCATACTTGAGGCCGGGTGCGGTGGCTCACGCCCATAATCCCAGCACTTTGGTAGGCTAAGGCAGGTGGATCACCTGAGGTCAGGAGTTCAATGGTCGCATTTCATTAAATTCGGCCTGGCCAACATGGTGAAACCCCATCTCTACTAAAAATACAAAAATTAGCTGGGCGTGGTGGCACATGCCTGTAATCCCAGCTACTTGGGAGGCTGAGGCAGGAGAATAGCTTGAATCTGGGAGGCGGAGGCTGCAGTGAGCCAAGATCATGCCGCTGCACTCCAGCCTGAGCAACAGAGCAAGACTCTGTCTAAAAAAAAAAAAAAAAAAAAATTAAAGAAAAGAGTAACTAAACAAAATTCAAGAACGTCTGCACTCACCCTTCACCCACCTGAGAAATAAAATTGTTTTAAATGTTTATATTATTCCAAAGGATGAAGTTTGAAATCGCTATAGGAAAATCAAAATAAATGACCCTTCAGGAATCAGGAGTGCCATGCAAAAATGAAAAAAATTATCATACTAAATTTTTTGTAGGTTTTCCAGTATAGACAAGCAATAAAACAAGTCAAATGTTGAACATTTTCTCTCTTTAGTGAGGGGCACAGTAAAACTAATCTAGTCCCCCAAAATAATTTTTTAAATCATTCCACCTTTAAGAGTTACTTCCTCACTACCTTTTAACTATTTTTTTCACTAAAAATAATACATATGTTAGATGAAGAATAAATATAGTACCTCTTTATCTAAATTTTTCTTTTTAAGATGGAGGCTCTTCAATTTTTGCAGCATTATATCACTAACCTTCTCACTCTCTTTGAAATGTTCGGCATCAGAATTGGTGACGTCCTAAGGATAAGAGTTTCAGAAGCTAGATGAAAAAGTTTTTACTAAAGCTAAAAGGAAGTAAAAAACATGTATATGAAACAAAAATAAATCTCCTTTCAATAAGTAAGCAAATCAAAAGAGGTAAAATCATATTGCACTCTATTCCTCAATTACTCATCAGAAGGCATCTAATAAAGGGTTAGTACGGAAAGACTTCATTCTTTTAATTTTAATTTTTTTTTTTTTTGAGACAGAGTTTTGCTCTTTTGCCTAGGCTAGAGTTTAGTGGCGCGATCTCTGCTCATGCAACCTCTCCCCCCGGGGTTCAAGTGATTCTCCTGCCTCAACCGCCCAAGTAGACGGGATTATAGGCACCCACCACCATGCCCAGCTAATTTTTGTATTTTTAGTAGAGATGGGGTTTCACGATATTGGCCAGGCTGGTCTTGAACTCCTGACCTCAGGTGATCCGCCTGTCTCGGCCTCCCAAAGTGCTGGGATTACAGGCGTGAGCCACCTGGCTGTGCATGTCCCTTAATTGTTTTTTTCATTAAATGCAGTGTTTATAAGCTCCCAGGACAGAAGCATCATTTCCCCATCTTAAAGATAAAGAAACTGAAGTGGAGATTAGGTTACTTGGTCAAGTCACACAGCTAGGAAATGATAAGCCAGCATCTGAACTGCTCTGACAGCAACTTCACTTTTCATTGGACTGCCCTTCCCCGGCTCCTAACCAAAAGTGGTATTTCAGATTGGGCAAACAGCTCATTAATGTGAATAATCACTAATCACTAGGCACAGACTGACCAGAGCACAAGACTACTGCTCTGGGAAGGCATTCCTAAAATGTGGGACGTACTTAATAAAGGGGTTCTTTTTATCTTATTACATTTTATCTTTCTGTACACTTGTGAGGATTAGGTGTTCAAGAAAGATAAGCAGAAAGAAGACATGGGGCGAAGAAGGGCTGGATGGATGGCTTAGGGGTCTGTATTTTATCTTCAATTCTTCATTTTCTTCTTCCACAACTTAATTCCTTTTATTGCCTCTCTTTTAGTCCAACCCTATTATTTATTCCTCCCCTACTAAAATATCTAATATATGTTTTATTACCTGGCACTTGAGAAGTCCCACCATCAGAGCCAGAAGACTGTGCATTTTGGAGGCCAGTTGAGAAGATCTTTCTATATCTGCAGGATTCAGGCTCTCTTCTTCACAAGGTGAGCAATCCAGGAGCAGATTAGAATGTGTCGTTGTTGTATCCTACATGCATGTAATTCAGATTTGTCAAAAAATGACGAAGAACCTGAAATATCTTTTAAGTAAAATGCTGTATAAAATGCCACTCTTAAAAACCTTGGTTGATATTTCTCAAACTTCTTGATCTTAGGATCCCTTTAGAAATTAAAACTGAGAATATTTTAAAATATTTGTTTACTAATTCTTTTAAAGTAGCAATAAATCCATTATGTATAAACATAAATAAAAATTTATTTATTTATTTATTTTTGAGCCAGGGTCTCAGTCTGTCACACAAGCTGGAGGGCAGTAGTGTGAACACGGCTCGCTGCAGCCTCAAATGCCTAGGCTCACACAATCCTCCCACCTCAGCCTCCCCAGTAGCTGAAACCACAGGTGCATGCCACCACATTTGGATAATTTTTCATATTTTTTGTAGAGATAGGGGTCTCACCATGTTGCCCAGGCTGGTGTTGAACTACTGGGCTCAAGCACTGTTCTTGCCTTAACCTCCCAAGTGCTGGGATTGCAAGTGTGAACCACTGTGCCCAACTAATAACAATTTTTAAATAGAACAATTACCACATTTTTCAAAACAAAACATTTGTGAAAAGAATGGCACTGTTCTGCATTTTTTCCAAATATTTTTAATGCTGGCTTAATTGAAGATAGCTGGATTCTCATATTTGCTTCACACATTCCATCAGCCATGAGAGCAATTACATCATGACACATCGTGTGGCTTCTGGAAAACTCCACTGTACACTTGTGAAAAAATGAGAGTAAAAAAGGCGATAATGTCTTAATATTACTATAAAAATACTTTTGACTTCACAGATACTCCCAGGCCATACTTTGAGGAAACAGAACTAGAGTTCATGAAAAGCAAAACTATAAGCAGAGTAAGTATGAATTCAGAGTGTTAGAGAAATTGATTAATCAAAATAAAATAAGGAACTTAAAAAAAAGGCTCAAGAAGAAAATTATATACCATGCTAAATTTCTGTACAATTAAACTAACTCATTTAGAGCTTACCCATTCAAAATGCATCATGATTTGGTTAGGAGCTCCAGTTAAGATGGCTTAGGTCAGTGGTTCTCAAAGTGTGACTCCAGAACCAGCAGCATCAACAGCTGGGATCTTGCTAGAAATGCACCTTCTCAGGCCCCACCCCAGAATTACTGAATCAGAAACTCTAGGGTAGGGCCAGCAATATGTGTTTTAACAAGCGTTTCAGGGAATTTTGAAGAATGTTCAAGTTTGAAAATCACTAGCTTAGATAATCCTTTTTTCTTAGATCTTAGAATTTTTTTTTAATTTAGGAAAAGAATATTTTCCTAAGAATCCTTAAAAACAGTAAAATCATTTACTTGTGAAGAAAAATTAAAATGATTACAGATTCATAAAAGAGGGTCCACTAACGACATCTTAAGGTAACATCAGCTCAGTTCAAGTTGTTAAAACAAATACAAAAGTAGGCTGGGTATAGTGGCTCACGCTTGTAATCCTAGCACTTTGGGAGGCCGAGGAGGGTGGATCACCTGAGATTGGGAGTTCGAGACCAGGCTGGCCAACATGGTGAAACGCTGTCTCTACCAAACCTACAAAAAAAAGTTATCTGGGCGTGGTGGTGTGTACCTATAATCCCAGCTACTCGGGAGGCTGAGGCAGGAGAATCGCTTGAACCTGGGAGGCAGAGATTGCAGTGAGAGGGGATCGCACCACTGCACTCCAGAGTGGGCAACAGAGTGAGAGTCTGTCTAAATAAATAAATAAATAAATAAAACAAATACAAAAAATTAACTTACACATTTTTCTAGTTCAGATTTGCCTTCTTTCTAAGTAATCAGTTAATAAGAGTTTACTATACATACTTTAAGACAGGCCTACACAACGGAAATAGATGTGCTCTGTCGTGTGAAAATTATCACTTCTGCAGTGTGTTTCCAGGTTCTTGGCTGCCAAAAAAAGGCTTTTGAACTACATATAATAAAGGATTACAGCTTCTCCAAACATACTGATATGGTTCTGATGCTGTTCTTAAATGCATAAAACTAGCATATGATATAGGTTTGTTTTGCCTTGTAAACCAAACATGCAATTGTATTATTTTGTTTTGTTGATGAATAGGATTGAGAGATGACTTAGAAAATCTTTTCTCAAAGGAACCCTGGCGCTGGACATGGTGGCTCACACCTGTAATTCCAGCACTTTGAGAGGCTGAGGCAGGTGGGTCACTTGAGGTCATGAATTTGAGACAAGCCTGGTCAACTTGGTGAAACCCCATCTCTACTAAAAATACAAAATTAGCAGGGCATGGTGGCGCATGCCTGTAATCCCAGTTACTCGGGAGGCTGAGGCAAGAGAATCACTTGAACCTGGGAGGCAGAGGTTGCAGTGAGCCACGACAGCGTCACTGCACTATAGCCTGGGCAACAGAGCAATACTGTCTCAAAAAAAAAAAAAAAAGGTAACTGCTGAGAGATGCTGTTGATTACTGGCAATGAGTACCCACAAAATTCCCAGGTTAACTGCCACCTCTACCAAAATAATCACAAGAAGGCAGGAATAGCTGTTCTTTGAACACTCATGAACCAAAAGAAACTTCTCCAAACTTGTGGTGTATTTTCCTTTCCATATCTGTTTTTTGTTTTTCTTTCTTCTTTTTTTTTTTTTGAGACAGAATCTTGCTCTGTCACCCAAGCTGGAGTGCACTGGCACAGTCATAGCTCACTGCAGCTTCAAACTCCTGAGCTCATGCAATTCGCCCGTCTCAGCCTCCCGAATAGATAGGACTACAGGCGCACATCACCATGCATGGCAGATTGGCTGATATAAAAAATGTTTTGTAGAGATGGGGTCTCACTATGTTGCCTAAGCTGGTGTCAAACTCCAAGCCTCAAGAGATCTTCCTGCTTCAGCCTCCCAAAGTGCCGAGATCTGTTTCTTTCCTTAATAATTATTTCTGCAAACAAATATAAGTAAGTGCCACATCTAAATATGCATCACCAGACCACTAGAAACTCTTGAAAATCCGCATTAGAGATTTAGAATGTGTATCAATACCTTGGTAATATCTGACTTCATGACTTCCTCTAATTGCTCCTTTAACTGAGCTGTCTCAGATTTAGGGACATAATTTTGCTCTTCACTCCTTGCAACCTGCTGTTTAAGTTTTTTATTCTCATTTTTTACTTCGTTGATTTGCTGCTGAAGTTTTATATTCTTAGCTCTTTCATTTTCAGACGTAAATTGTAAATTTTTAACCTGAGTGAGCAATTTCTCAAGTCGAGATTTCAGTTTCTGTCTTTCTTCCAGGTTTGCCTTGTCACGTTTCTGGAATTCCTCCTGTAAAGACAAGAACTCTTGCTCCTGGGTCTCTTTTTCCCGTTTCAACAAGTCCAGAGCAGAAGCTGTGACCTTTTCCTGCTCTTTTCTGAGTTGTTGTAGTCTCTTTACCTCTTCCTCTTTCTTGCTTAAGGTTTTGTCCATCTCTAAATACTGACTTACAGATTTATTTTTTTGTTGCATTTCGGTCATGTACCTTTCCTGTAAACGCACATAATTAGCCTTGATCTTCTTAAATTGAAGCTGTAACATTTCATTGTCATTCCTGGATTCCTGAATTTGTTTTTGGGTGTTAGCTAAAATCTCTTGCAAATTCTGCAATGTCTTTTTAGTATCATTTTTCTCTAGGATTATTTTGTATTTGTCTTCAATTAATTCTTCAACATTCTCCTTTAGCTTATTGATGACATCAATGAACACTTTCTGTTTGGTAGTCTTCATCTGTAGTTCTTTAACTCTCTTCTCTAAATACAGGTTACTACACTGGAGTTCTTGGATTCGCGCCTCCTGCTTTCTGTTAGTATGTTTTAATTTCTTCAAGATTTCATTTAAAGCCATGTCCTCTTGAACAGGTTGTAAGCTTTCAGCACTTTGCTCCATGTCAGGCATCTCACAGTTCTCCCGAGATGCTTTACTCCTCCAGGAGATGCCCGCCGAAGACCAAGTTGAGACAATTTCTGGCCTCTCCACACCCTCTGCTGTGACTTCCTTTGCATAACTGACTGACATCTCAGGAATCTTCCCATAATTCTGTATTTCTTTCGAAGGAACTGCAGTCTGTAAATTATAATAAACAAAGTAAATGTGAATGCGTAGAAAGATCATGAACTTTCAAGTCAGATAGGGCTGGCCTCGAATTCTGTTAGTAGATCCCCTGTTTGGTGTCCTCCACTATAAAGTAACGATAGTACCTACTTCCAGTAGTAATGCCTATTAACAAAAGTTAATACCTATGTATTAATTGCTAAATGTTTGTACAGCACCTAACAGCACAGCAGAGCACAGGCAGTAGGTATATGACAGATATATATCCCATTTACTTTGACAAAAGGAAAATTTAAACTTTTGTCCTCTTACCATTTCCTATTATGCAAACTTCCCTGCACACATATAAGATGCTTTGACTTCAAATGAATTCAGACAAATAAATCTATCAATTACCTTATAGACTGCAAGGTCTCTCTCTTTTCTTTTTTTTTTTTTTTTACATTTTATTATTGGGCCAAAAGTTTGTATTTTTAGGGAAGGTCTCTTCTCTTTTGAATATTTTTTTTCCACATTTAGACTGTTTTCTAATTATTCTGTGACTCTTAGGAACATTAGAATGGCAGAAGAACATGCCTCATGATTGACTTTATGCTGACAGTACAGGTTTTGGGGAGGTTACAAAAGGACAGTAGGCCGGGCAAGGTAGCTCACGCCTGTAATCCCAGCACTTTGGGAGGCTGAGGTGGGTAGATCACTTGTGGTCAGGAGTTTGAGACCAGCCTGGCCAACGTGGTAAAACCCATCCCTGCCCAAAATACAAAAATTAGCCAAGCGTGGTGGCACATGCCTGTAATCCCAGCTACTCAGGAAGCTGAGTGAGGCAGGAGAATCACTTGAACATAGGAGGCGGAAGTTGCAGTGAGCTGAGATTGCACCACTGCACTCCAGCCCGGGCGACAGAGCGAGACTCTGTCTCAAAAAATAGTAATAATAAAATAAACAAATAAAAATAAAAAAGACAGTACATTGTGGTAAGAAATGGTGAAATGAATATGACATTAAAAACCCAGGGCCGGGTGCAGTGGCTCATGCTTGTAATCCCAGCACTTTGGGAGGTTGAGGTGGGCGGATCATGAGGTCAGGAGATCAAGACCATCCTGGCCAACATGGTGAAACCCCATCTCTACTAAAAATACAAAAATTAGCCGGTTGTGGCGGTGCACACCTGTAGTCCCAGCTACTCAGGAGGCTGAGGCAGGAGAATTGCTTGAACCCTGGAGGCAGAGGCTGCAGTGAGCCGAGATCATGCCACTGCACTCCAGCCTGGGCAACAGAGCGAGACTCCATCTCAAAAAACAACAAACAAACAAAAAGCAAACCCCAGGCCAGGCACAGTGGCTCATACCTGTAATCCTAACACTTTGGGAGCCCAAGGTGAGAGGATTCCTTGAGGTCAGGAGTTCGAGACCAGCCTGGGTAACATAGTGAGACCCTATCTCTCCAAAAAAATATTTTAAAAATCAGTCAGGTGTGGGGGCACGTGCCTGTAGTCCTAGCTCCTTCGGAAGCTGAGGCAGGAGGATTTCTTGTGGGCCATGGTCACACTGCTCTCCAATCTGAGTAACAGAGCAAGACCTCGTATGTAAAAAATAAATAAATAAAAACCCAGTAAAAGGGAGTGGTGCGCTGTATAATTCTCTGGAATTTAGAGACAAGGACTTCTGTATTTTGTTTTTTGAGCTCATCCTTCTGCAGAACCTTGCATCTTAATGGTTTTTCATGGTTCTGGGATAAAGATAACTATCATTACTGAGACCTACAAGGCCCTAATATCTTGCTCTTGATATCTACTATGGTTTAAATGCATTCCCTAAAGTTCATGTGCCAGAAGCTTAATCCCCAATGCAACAGTGTTGGAAGATGGGGCCTAGTAAGAGGTGAATAAAAATGACTAAATGTTGTTATCGCAGGAGTGTGTTAGTTATCACAAGTGGATTTATTACAAAAGTGAGTTGGGGGCTGCGTGGTGGCTCACATCTGTAATCTCAGCACTTTGGGAGGCCGAGGCGGGTGGATCACAAAGTCAGGAGATGGAGACCATCCTGGCTAACACTGTGAAATGCCGTCTCTACTAAAAATACAAAAAATTAGCTGGGCGTGGTGGCACATGCCTGCAATCCCAGCTACTCAGAAGGGTGAAGCAGGAGAATCGCTTGAACCCAGGAGGCGGAGGTGGCAGTGAGCCAAGATGGTGCCACTGCACTGCATCCTGGGTGACAGAGCGAGAATCCATCTCAAAATAAATAAATAAATAAATAAATAAATAAATAAATAAATAAATAAAAGTGAGTGCAGCCTCCACTTGCTCCCTTGATCTCACCCTCTTTTGCCCCTCCACCTCCCATCATGAAACGACAGCACAGAGACCCTTGTGTGATGTTGGCACCATGGACCTAGCCTCCAGAACCGTGAGCCAGATAAATTTCTATTCATTATAAATTGCCCAGTCTGTGATATAGTTGCAGCAGTATGAAATGAACTAAAGCAGTAGCTGGCCCGCACCACCTGTCTTCATCTGCTATACCCCTCCTCCTTCCTCCAACTCTGATCTTCCTGTACTCAGGGCTTCCTTCAGGTCCCAGTAGGTACCACGCTTCCTGCAGCCACAGGATTTGCAGATGTTATTCCTTCTGTATGGCATGTTCTCCTACCCCTAGCTGCCTAATTCACTCCTACTCATCCTTTACAGCTCAGCTCAATGATCATTTCTTCAGGGATGCCTTCCCCAGACTCCCTGATCAGGGTGGTATCCTAATCATAGATGCCCATCCTACTTATATTTGCAGCACTTACCATAGTTGCAAGTTTATACGTAACTTTATATAGCATCATAGCATATATAGTAACTTTATATAACATGCTCTACATATACTTTGTATGTAACTTTATTCACATAACTTATTGATCTTATCATAGTTGCAAGTTCACATTTATTTGTGTGATTATTTGATTAATGACTACCTCCTCTAGTAGGATGTTGTTTTCATGAGGACAAGAACTGCATCTTTTTGTCTGTTTTCTAACCATTACCTAATACGTAGTACAGACCTGGCATGTAATAGATGCCTAAAAGTATCTTTTGACTGAATGAAAAACAGCTAAATGCAATGGAAAGAGGAAAGAACAATCTTGAGAAACCCTATTTAGGCTGATTTTTAAAATGTTGTTTTCCAGAAATCAACATGGACAAAGAAAGTTCTTTTAAGTACTGTCAACTACTTTCAAAAAAATGAAAATGCTCATACTTGTAAATAAGGCATTATAGTCATAGTATTTCCCATCAAACTCACATTGAAAAGGTATTATTGGCCAGGTGCAGTAGCTCACACCTGTAATCCCAGCACTTTGGGAGGCCAAGGCAGGTGGATCATTTGAGGTCAGTAGTTCAAGACTAGCCTGGCCAACATGGTGAAACTCCGTCTCTACTAAAAATACAAAAAAAATTAGCCAGGTATGGTGGCAGGCCTGTAATCCCAGCTACGCAGGAGGCTGCAGTAGGAGAATCGTTTGAATCCAGGAAGCAGAGGTTGCAGTGAGCCAAGATCGTGCCACTGCACTCCAGCCTGGGCAACAGAGTGAGACTCCGTATCAAAAACAAAACAAAACAACAAGAAAAGAGAGAAAAGGTATCACTTATACTATTCGTGAATTTTATCTATTTTCCCATACCAATTCCGAGTATTTTTAATTTTTTTGTTCAGAAAGTACACAGAATGTATACTGTCGGTATCTTCAGTGCTCTGAGGATACTACATGTGTGCTCGGAATCAATAAACCAAATGATAAACTAATATTTTCACTTTAGTAGAAAAATTAGTATTTTTTGCTTGTCAATAGAAGTCCAATATGACAGAGAAATCTTGTTTTTCTTGAAAAATTAATTAGTGCTTCAGCACTCCTTCCTCTTCTTAACCTTTCCATTACTGTAAACTCTGCTACTGCCAGCCAGTTTGATTCAACAAATGTAAAAGCTTATTATATTCAGGCTGCTCTGTCTACACGGCAGCCATTCTTTTGTTTCTTTACTTCTCTAATACACTTGCTTTCGATGAAAAAAATTATAGTAAAAAAAGCTTATTACATTCAAGGAACCATACAGACGCTGTGGTGCATAAAAGGGTAAGACAGAGTCCTGAGCCTTAGAGAAATTACCATTTGGTGGAGCTAATCCTCAAGTATGGACTTGAGGATTATTTTTCTTTACCAGAAAAATTTATTTCTGAATTGGCTAAGATCTCAGAATGCATTTTCCCCGGAGAAGCAAAGTCCCTCATGCTAACTAGGTGATTTAGCACTGCTTGGAAAAGTCTCAGATTTTATATATATATATAATTTTTTTTTTAACGAATCCTTTAATACTCCACAGGCTTTACTGACCATCACAATCGTACTTCCTCTGCTTTATAATTAACTCTCAGATGAACTAGGTTAGAACTATTCTCTTTATAAATGGTTTTACAATATTATTGTGTACACTTTCCTTACACACGAAGCTTGGAGGTTGGCTAGGGTTGAGGGCAGATTCCTTGGCAGTACTTTTAGCCAGTGATTTTTCTGGAAATTTCAGGGTCTCTCCACTGCAGGGGATTAGAGGCGGGCTTCTAGGAGGAGGCTGTCTAAAAGACTCGTTACTAAGTTGGTCTGTACTTGCAGAAACACTAGTTTCCATTGGATTTTCTTCCTTAAATGAGTCTTGCTTTATATTGTTGCCTTTTGCATAATTATACACTTGACTTTGAAATTCTGGTTTCTCTGTCATTTCATCATCAAATGCTTCTACACAGTGAAATTTGCAAACGGTGTCAAATTGTCTCAAGGAAGATATGCTGATGGTGTCAACTGGCTGAGTTAGTACATTCTTTGAGTAATTTTCAATGTTGTTGTCTCATAAGAAAGAGAAAGAAGGAAATAAAAATGAGTAGACCATGAACTTGGATGGTAACAGTTATATTTATATTTATCAAATAAACTGCTGTAGCCACTTACAAATTAAGTATTATTTCAACCTTATTTACTGTGTGAATTTTAGCACGGTTTTATGCTAGCAAACAAAACAAAACTTTACATGGGGGAAAGAAGTCCCCAAATGACTGCTACAAAAAAGTTTGTTATACATAATTCTGGTCAAATACAATTACAATAAATTTCAAGATATCTTCAAAATTATTTTGTTGTACTGTAATTTTAAGATGTTTTAAATTACAAAATCTTTCAAAAGGACAGGGATAGTATAATAGAAAACACATATAAACTTGCTTAATCTCACAAAAATCCCTTGATGTCAGTACTGTTATTATCCCTATTTTACAGATAAGGAAACTGAAGTACAAGAGATGTTAAAGTCACTTGTCTAAGGTCACAGAGCTGCTAAGCAGTGCTGCTGAGATTCTAGGCTACTACTTCTAAATGTTATGCTGTACTATTTTTCAATATGACAAATTATGCAGGTGTAATGTTTTTTAAAATCAGAAGCAAACAAGAATCAACATAATCATTATCAACATAATCATTCCCAAAGAATAAAGTTCCCAGATTTCTTCATTTTGTGACACCCTTAATGTCTCAGTACTTTTTTTCACAGTACCTCTGGACCAAAGGAATATTTAAGTTCCATTTAGTAAATAATTAAGTTCAAACTAGTATTTGTCCTAAGTTATTAGCTGTTTGAAAATACACATAAACTAAAAGAAAAATATGATATTTTATTCTTAAACAACCACACTTTACTACTTGGATGTACACTGTTAGGCATCATACAGCACCTCAAACCGTGGAATCAGATTGGAGACCACCACTCTCACTTCCTATACCACAATGATTTTCATGCAGGACTTGCTTTTTATTATAGCAACCTCCAAAAACCTACCTTTACAAATAAGACATCACAGGAAGGACTACAATATGGGTTTATAGTGAAAACTACAGCTAACAGATTGTGGGGGTCTGATAGATGTCCAGTGTCACTGTTTCCCTCAAACTCCAAAATACCCTGCAACACTTTAGGTGAATGATTAATATATAATATTGTTTTATGTGCTTTTATATTTTACATAAATAGCATATCACTATATCTATATCCATATAAAAGTCTTGGACCCAGTGGTTTATACCTGTAATCTTAGCCCTTTGGGAGGCTGAGGTGGGTGGATCACCTGAGGTCAGGAGTTCGAGATCAGCCTGGCCAACATGGTGAAACCCCGTCTCTACTAAAAATACAAAAATTAGCAGGGCGTGGTGGTGCACGCCTATAATCCCAGCTACTTGGGAGGCTCAGGCAGGAGAACCACTTGAACCTGGGAGACGGAGGTTGCATTAAGCCAAGATCATGCCACTGCACTCCAGCCTGGGTGACAGTGCAAGACTCCGTCTCAAAAAAAAAAAAGTCTTTATTTCACACAAAATTTTGCTTTCGAGGCTTAGCCATATAAATACATACATATGTAGTTCATTATACTGAAAGACTACGCTTTATTCCTTTCTTGTTGGCTATTTAAGTTGCTTCTAATTTTGCCCTTAAAAACAGCATTGCAGTGAACATGTTTCCTTCTATGCCAATGTAAAAATTTTTGTCTAGGCTCTGAGGATACACCTCGAAGTGAAATTGCTGGATTATAGAAAATACATATCTTCAACTTTATTAGATATTGCAAAATTACTCTCCAAAGTGTTTGTACCAATTTATGCTTCTACCAGTAGCCTCAGGGTTCCTTTGCTCTACAAATCCCTCCAAAACACGTTAAATTCATATGTATGAAATGGCATTTTACTGTGATCTTCTTAATGTACATCCTTTCATGTATTTAATGGTCTTACAGGTTTCCGTTTCTGTGATCTGCTTGTTGTATACTGTTATGGGCCCAACTGTGTGCCCCTAAAATTCATATGCTGAAGCTCTCATCCCCAGTACCTTAAAATATGACTCTTACTTGTAGATATGGCCTTACTTGTAGATATGACCCTGCATTTCTCAAGTCTTAAGAAATCTTAGGCGGAGCGTGGTGGCTCATGCCTGTAATCCCAGCACCTTGGGAGGCTGAGGCAGGCAGATCAGAAGGTCACGGGTTCAAGACCAGCCTGGCCAACATGGTGAAACGCTGTTTCTACAAAAATACAAAAAAATTAGCCAGACATAGTGGCAGGTGCCTGTAGTCTCATTACTCAGGAGGCTGAGGCAGGAGAATAGTTTGAACCCGGAAGGTGGAGGTTGCAGTGAGCCGAGATCGCTCCACTGTACTCCAGCCTGGGTGACAGAGCAAGACTCCATCTCAAAAAAAAAAAGAAAAGAAAAGAAAAAGAAATCTTTTCTGTTGTCACAAAGGCGTTTGATATGGTTTGGCTCTGTGTTCCCACCCAAATCTCATCTCCAGTTATAATCCCCATGTGTTGAGGGAGGGACCTAGTGGGAGGCAATTAAATCATGGGGACGGTTTTCCCCATGCTGTTCTTGTGATAGTGAGTTCTCACAAGATCTGATGGTTTTAAAGTGTTTGGCAGTTCCCCTGCCCCTCCTGTCGTCATTTAAGACATGCCTTGCTTCCTGTTTGTCTTCTGCCATGATTCTGTTTCCTGAGGCCTCCCAAGGCATGTGGAACTGTGATCCAATTAAACCTCTTTTCTTTATAAATTACCCAGTCTTGGGGAGTTCTGTATGGCAGGGTGAAAACAGACTAATACAGCATTTTCTACACTTCTTTTATAAGTTAGAACTTTGCAGTTCACATGTAGGCCTTTATCCATGTGCACTTTATTTTGTATTTGGTGTGAGGTAAGGTTCTAATCATTTCCTACATTGAGAGAGCCAACTGTTCCAGCACAACCAAATGAAATCCCCCACTGGTTTATAATGACACCTCTATCAAATACCATGTGTCCTCATACATAAATGGGTCTACTTTGTCTTTTATTTATTCTACTGGTTTGTTACCCTTCTGCCTATAATACATCATTATAATTACTATAACTAATAACTCTTGTAATCTAGCAGGATAAGTCTCCACATCTTCTTTTTCAAAATTGTGTTGGGTATTTTTTTTAACTTTTTCACTTCTGAATGGGAATGTTAGGATTAAGGTAGGATACACGAAATTGCATTAATTAATAGACTTCAGGAAAACTGACATCTTTACAATCTGAACATGAAACATTTAATTATTTATTATGGCCTCCAGGAAAGTTTTATAATATTTTTTAATGGAAATCTTACACTTTTTGTTAGATTTATTCTTAGGTACCTTAGTTTGTGCTGCTACTGATAATAGTAAGTTTTTAATAATTACTGTTTTACATCTGTTGTTGCTAGTACATTGGAATGCTATTGGTTTTTTAATATTAATTTTATATCTAGCTTTCTTCTAAACTTTATTAGTTCTAATAGCTCATCTGTAGGTGCTTATGACTTTTCTATGTAGAAAAGTACATATTTGCAAATAATGATAATTACTTCATTACTTCTCTTCCTTTCTAATGCTTATAGCACTTTTCTTTCTTTCTTTCTTTCTCTCTCTCTCTCTCTCTTTCTTTCTTTCTTTCTTTCTTCTTTTCTTTTTGAGACGGAGTCTCGCTCTGTCGCCCAGGCTGGAGTGCAGTGGTACCATCTTGGCTCACTGCAAGCTCTGCCTCCCGGGTTCACGCCATTCTCCTGCCTCAGCCTCCCGAGTAGCTGGGACTACAGGTGCTCGCCACCATGTCCGGCTAATTTTTTGTATTTTTAGTAGATACAGGGTTTCACCATGCTAGCCAGGATGGTCTCGATCTCCTGACCTCGTGATCCGCCCGCCTCGGCAGTACTTATTTTTCTTGTACCTGCAGGTATTAAATTCCATAATTTCAATAAGCCTTGTCAAATCTTTTCATTTTAGTATTACTTACAAGTATTAAAAATAAAGACATTTGTATACAGCATTTAGATTTGCTTTAATAAACATGATCAATGTAGGGCCCAGTGTGGTGGCTCACAGCTGTAATCCCAATACTTTGGGACACCGAGGCAGGAGACTCACTTGAGCCCAGGAATTTGAGACCAGCCTGGGCAGCACAGTGAGATCCATTTCAAAAACAAAACCAAAAACATGATCAAAGTATCTCATCATATGATTAAATCCCACATAGCTTTCATGTATCAATTTAGGATTAGAATAACAGATTTGGAGTTACATCAACACACAGTTCTCTTTTTTTTTTTTTTTTTTTGAGAGAGGGTCTCATTGTGGTTGTCCACGCTGCAGTGCAGTGGCGTGATCTCAGCTCACTGCAGTCTCAGCCTCCTGGGCTCAGGTAATTCTCCCATCTAGGCCTCCAAAGTGGCTAGGACTACGACACCTGGCTAAGTTTTTGTATTTTTAGTAGAGGCGGGGTCATGTTGCCCAATCTGATCTCAAACTAGTGAACTCAAGCAATCCTTCTGCCTTGATCCCCCAAAGAGCTGGGATTACAGGTGTGAGCCACTGTACCTGTTGCTTTTTGTTTTGTTTTGTTTTGTTTTAGAGATGGAGTTTCGCTCTTGTTGCCCAGGCTGGAGCGCAATGGCGCGATCTCAGCTCACTGCAACCTCCACCTCCTGGGTTCAAGGGAGTCTCCTGCCTCAGCCTCCTGAGTAGCTGGGATTACAGGCATGCACCACTATGCCCGGCTAATTTTGTATTTTTAGTAGAGACGGGGTTTCTCCATGTTGGTCAGGCTGGTCTTGAACTCCCAACCTCAGGTGATCCACTTGCCTAGGCCTCCCAAAGTGCTGAGATTACAGGCATGAGCCACTGTGCCTGGCCCTTTTTCTTTTTTTGTTTAAGAGACAGGTTCTCCTTCTGTTGCCCACTGGAGTGCAGTGACATGATCATAGCTCATAATAGCCGTGGACTTCCTGGCTCAAGCAATCCTCCCACCTTGGCCTTCCAAAGCACTGGGATTATAGGTATGATCTACCACACCCAACCTCAATACACATTTAAAGATACTTGTATAGTAGAAAATTTTTGTGTCTGAGACTGGGACTTGATTACAGCTCATTCATTTAAAGCTACACAATCCTGGGCAAGTTACTCTCTGAGTCTTATTTTCCTTATCTGTAAAATGAAGATAAAAACAGCCCTTATTTCAATTTTTTAAAAGCCTTATTTCAATAAGATTGTGGATTAAGTGTGATGATATATATAAAGTGCTTAGCACAATACCTGGCTATTGTTATTATCACAGAACACACAAAAAAGTTTCTCTCTTTTGCATATTGCTAACAAATAGATACTTACCATTTAACAAATTGTCTAGTGTGCCATAAGCATCTTCACAAAGTGTGGATTCATACTCATTTTCCCTTTCAAAATTCTTTATTTCATTCTGTATTAATAAAAAAGGCATTAATACTTCAAGCAAACATCATAAGCTTCTTCTAAAGGTATTTGCACATTGTTATGTAATTCTGCTATTAGAATATTTCGTTACACAGATAGAATGTGCTTTCTGGTATCTTTCCCCAGCATATATTTGGCTCCCTTTTAGTAAAACTATGCTAACAGAGTCCCAATATTAAACAATAATGTAACAAATAGCTTGCTATTTTAATATTTTGGTTTTTTGGTTAGTCAAATCATGTGACTATAAACTTAGGGATACATGATAGCATATTTATGTATTGATAATTCTTTGATGTTTATTAAATCTAGTCTAAACAGCATTAAGATGGTTGTTATTCTAGTCTTTTAACACTGAAGATATATAAAACAGGCATATATCTGTGACGTATTTTTATAAATTCCTATTTAGTGGAATCAGATGTCACTGACTATCAAATGTTTAGAACAACATTCATGAAGATATTGGGACATTACAATCTTTTATTTTGTAATAAAAGGAGCTAGGCATTTTCATGAAGATAGGAAAGTTGTCATTTACATGCAGGGTGCTGTCAATGTCATTATGAATGACAACTGAATTATTTGCATACTGACATAAGTGGAAGATGCATTAGACTATAAGCCAGGTTCCTTGGGCTCTTGTCCTGCCTCTGTGCCTGAATTGTTGTGGTCATGTCCCCTGGCTGCACTCCTGGGACTTCATGAGGCTAGAAAGGATCAGTTTTAATGCTGTGTAAAAATGTACCTCGCTCTCTCGCCCAGGCTGGAGTGCAGTGGCGCGATCTTGGCTCACTGTAACCTCCACCTCCCGCATTCAAGTGATTCTCCTGTCTCAGCCTCCAGAGTAACTGGGATTACAGGTGCTCCCTTCCATGCCTGGCTAATTTTCATAGTTTTAGCAGAAATGGGGTCCCACCATGTGGCCCAGGCTGGTCAAAATGTATCTTACGCTAGTGAAACTGGGAAAACCAGACCATGTATTCCCTTCCTTTCTGTGTCCACTGAAGATTGTTTTATTGTTCCTTATATTTTTGAAGAAATTGAATTCTGAATACATCTGAGCCTCCCAGAACTTATAAGCAATGCACACCTGAGGCAAGTCACAAGTGGTACTGGTGGTTTCCATACAGATGGGAGAATCTGAAAGCATTATGCCTTGAGAAAGATTGCTGACATTCATGGTATCCGATTCTGATATGCTTTCTACTTTTTCATGAGAAGTATCCACTTCAAAACGTACAGGATCTGAAGGTGATGGCCAAAATATTTGATAGTCCTTGTTCATAACTGTTGAATAATGGAAGGCTTCTTTAAAAAAAAAAAATTGTGTCTATTAGTAGGTGCAAACAAAAAGCTTTTTCCCTATTCTTCTCATTAAGTAGCAAAGTTCACTGCCCTTGTTTGAAATGTCATTTGTCAAGTTATTAGAAAAATTAAAAATTTTAGTCTGAGTATACCATAATTTGATATGGTAGTAAATACTGGTTTCGAGAAAAACAAATAACATTGGCTACTATCCAATAATTCCCTAGGCGGCTTTGGACCTAGAAGGCGAAGGGATCGCTATGTTATTTAATCAAAGGATATTTACAAAATATTATCAGAGACCTATTAGTTTCCACAAAATGCTGGATTTCTATTTACTTGATACCTGCCACTTGAACACCTCACTACCAAGTCAAAAACAGCATTGTAACTCAGTTTTCCCTCCTCACTTTCCCATACTGCGCCTATTCCCTCAGGTACTTGTGTTTGCAAATTGGAGTTGCCATGGCATCCCTCTACCTCATCATCCATGGCTATTTAGATACCAAGTCTCGTCCATGTCTCCTTTAAAAAAGGCTTTCAGGGCCAGGCGTGGTGGCTCACGCCTGTAATCCCAGTACTTTGGGAGACTAAGGCGGGCGGATCACAAGGTCGGGAGATCGAGATCATCCTGGCTAACACGGTGAAACTCCGTCTCTACTAAAAATACACACACACAAAAAAATTAGCCGGGCCTGGTGGCGGGCGCCTGTATTTCCAGCTACTTGGGAGGCAGAGGCAGGAGAATGGCGCAAACCCGGGAGGCGGAGCTTGCAGTGAGCCGAGATGATGCAGCGACTCCAGCCTGGGTGACAGAGCGAGACTCCGTCTCAAAAAAAGAAAAAAGTCTTTCAGTAACCTGTGCTTTCTTTCCATCCCATGTTGCCACACTGGTCCACATTCTCCTGACTTCCTCAGGCCTCTCCGGGGCTGAGTGGAAAGGATGGCCACTCACATCGAGTCTATAAATTCTTCTTGTCCTTCCAGGCCATGCATAGCCTGGAGTGACATTACCTACCCAGTACTCCCCTGCTCTACTCAGATCAGGCTCATTTCCCTGCAAACAGATAATGTTCCTTACGAATTAAGCTTCAGTCATCTGCCCTGGCACGTGCTTCTCTCCTAAAACCTTCCGGTCTACCCATTTATCTATTTTCAAAATTGCTTCAATGTCTTCAGCCTCTAAATCTCTTACAATTCAGTACTTGGTGATTTCGTTTACTGTTTTAGAGCTTTACCACTGTTTCAAGGGTGTTAGTGTTTGTATTTACAGATCATAAATGTCTTAAGAGGAGTAGAGTTACGGCTTTCCAATATCCCCTACTGCAAATGGACCGGTGCTGTCCACACAGCAAACATTGATTGAATAAAACCTGCATTCTAATGATTTATTTCTATCAAGCTCTCTCAATTTATAGTCATTACTCATCTGCCTGGATT